AGATTAATTTTGAGAGAATGATATATTTATGATAATGAGTGTCATGGAGCTAGCATATCTCTTCATTTATTTAGGACTTCTTTTAAGTCCTTAAGTTGTTTTACAGTTTTCCCCAAACATATCTTGACTTCCTTTCTTAGATTTACTTTTAGACACTTTATACTTTCTATAGCTACTGTAAATGGGATCCTTTTTAAAATAATATTTGAAACCCTTGTTCTTGACCACATAAGGAATATTATCAACATTTCACCATTAAATGTCATGTTCACTGATGCTTTTGTTAGCTATTAACTCACTAAATTATAAGAATTCCCTTCTTTCTGGTTTATTAGGCTTTTTCCTTTTCAACACAAATGAGCATTGAGTTTTACCAAATACTCTTATCTATTAAGATGATCATATGGAACACATTTTAAAAAACTGCAAGACGGCAGGTGGAGTGGCTCAAGAGGAAAAGCACCTGCCTAGCAAATATGAGGCCCTGAGTTCAAATCCTAGTACCTCAAAAAACAACAACAACAAAAAAGAAAACACTGCAAGAAAGATAAAACAGAGGAGGAAAGGGGAAGGAGGGATAAGAAGGAACAATAGATGAAGTGAATATGATCAAAGTATATTATATACCTGTATGAAAATATCACAATGAAACCGTCTACATTATAAAATTAATTTGCACTAACAAAAATGTGGGGAGCTGGCACCAGTGGCTCACGCCTGTAATCCTAGCTACTAGGGAGGCAGAGATCAGGAAGCTCGAGGTTCAAACACAGTTCAGGCAAATAGTTCTCAAACCCTGTCTTGAAAATACCCAATATATACCAGGGTCTGTGGTGTAGTTCAAGTGCTAGAGTGCCTGCTTAGCAAGCATGAGGCCTTGAGTTCAAACCTCAGTACTGCCAAAAAAAAAAAAAATGTGGGGAAAAGATGATCATATGGATCTACAGGTTGTTAATGTGCTCAAATATTTTCTAATTTTTTTGTTTTTTGCAGTACTGGGGTTTGAACTCAGGGCCTACACCTTGAGCCACTCCACCAGCCCTTTTGGTGATGGGTTTCTTTTGAGATAGGGTCTCATGAACTATTTGCCCAGGCTGGCTTTGAACTGCAATCCTCCTTCTCTCTGCCTCCTGAGTAGCTAGCATGTGATCAATTAAATAAAGATTTTCTAATATTATAGCATTCCCAACTCCTGGCACAAACTCTATTTACATGTCCAAGGTATATTATTATTTTTATCCACAATTAATTAGTTTACTAATATTACATTTAGAAGTTTGGCAAACATATTGCTAAGCGCAATTGGCCTGTAATTTTCCTTTGTTATTTAGTTCATGTCCTGGCTTCGGAATCAAGATTATATTTCAAACATAAAGAAGCTGGAGAGCTTGCCCTCTCCAGTTGTTGGAACAATTTGTATAGCAGGGGTTACGTGATCCCGTATACATGGTGAAGTGATAGTAGGGAGGTTTTTTCCTTTTTTTTTTGAGACAGGGTCTCACTACAAGCTGGCTTCAAACTGGAAATTCTCCTGTCTCAGCCTCCCACATGCTGAAATCAACACATACATCACCATACCTGGCTGCAGATTTTTTATTTTTACCACTTGAGCCACTCCGCCAGCCCTGTTTTGTGTTGGGTATTTTTGAGAGAGAGTCTCCAGAACTATTTGCCTCGACTGGCTTCCAAGAGTGATCCTCCTGATCTCTGCCTCCTGAGTAGCTAGGATTACAGGTGTGAGCCACCGGTGCCTGGCTTCTTACCACAGCTTTTAATACTACTAATGTCAAAGAACTGGAATTAGATGAACATTGTAAACCCTTAGCTTGAAGAGGAAAAAGATGGAACATTCTTGTAAATATAGATTGATGAATTTGAAATGTTAATTCTCAACAAAATTCTAGAATTGTTAAATTTCATTATTAAAATTATGGTCGTACAAATGTAGATAAGAAGTAGTAAAATTGTAAGTAATGGTAACACTAATTTGGAATTTATATCAAAAGTATCTTTTTTTGTTTGATGGGAGTTTTTACCATCTAGGGACATGCTCTGAACATTTTAACAAAGTTTTTCAAGAAATGTGGAGTGGATGACAGAAGTACTTTAGGTATTTTTTACTTTCTAAATAACTATACTCAAAGGATGATGATTAATGGAACAAAATCAACCTGTTGATGACTTCTGTCTCTTTTTGGTGGACTGACGTTGAACTCAGGGCTTTGGCACTTGCAAAGGAGGCACTCTACTGCCTGAGCCACACCTCCAATCTATTTTGCTCTGGTTATACTGGAGATGCAGCCTTGAAAACTTTTTTGCTTGGGCTGGCTTCAAACCTTAGCCTCCCAAGTAGCTAGGATTACAGGGACGAGCCATCAGTGCCCTGCTTTATTCAACATTCTTAAGATTTATTTTTAGTTTTTGTGGTGCTAGGGATTGAACCCAGGGCCTCAGAAATGCTAGGCACACACTCTACCACTGAGATATACCCCCAGTCCTATCCAACATTTATGTTAATTAAGGGTACAAGAAGTGTACTTATAAATTTTGCACACAATACAAAGTTTAGATATCAACTAATATGCTAGATGACAGAATTGGCCCTCAAAAAGAAAGAATGCGGGCTGTGGGTGTAGTTCAGTTGTAGAGCATGTGCTTAGTATGCACAAAGTCATGGGTTAAATCCCTAACACCCAAAAAAAAAAAAAGGAAAAGTGAGCAAGTTAGAAGGATGAATTGTAATGAATAAGATACAAGACACACAGCATAGCCCTGGGTTTGATCTGTAGTAACATACGTACATACAGTTAAGTACTACATTCCAACAAAATTTTTGAACCAACTAAGGACCTTTTGAACTAAGGGCCAGGCGGGAAACTCTTAATGCAAAAATGAATACAACCTGTGACTGAGGCTTACTTAACTCTTGTCTTCAAACTGAGTCAATAGGATAATGGACAAACATGCAACAACATAATACACTGTGTACTAACAATGTGAACCACGTTCAGAATACTGTCTTCAGCTCTGGGTAGTATGTTTTAACAAGGACATTGTGATATTTGATATTGTTCAAGGGAGAGAAAAAAGTCCGTAACAGGGGCTGGCACTCAGTGGTTGAATTTAGTATGTGTGAGGTCTTGGGTTTCTCAGCATCAAAAAAAAAAAAACAAAAAAGTTCATGTGGAGAAAGTTGAAAGAATAGAGGATGAATTGTTTCAAAAAGAGATAATTGGGCAGGAGAAAAGTGACTACAACTTTTAATGTAAGTAGTGCTCACCAATGGAAAAGGGGTTAGAATTTTTCTGCGATAGCTCCAAGAGGCTGAACTGGACTCAACAAACATCAGTCTTAAATAGGGGAACATCACAGACATAAGACCTTTCCAGAAAAGTAAAGATTTAAAATCTTTTGCATCCCTGAAAGTGTCCAACAGTAGGTGGATAATCTAGAGAGAACACCAAAGAAAGGATTCCTGCATTAGAAGTTCTTTTAGAGCCAGGTGTCTGTAATCCCAGCTACTCATGAGGCAGAGATCAGGAGGATCACATTTCAAAGCCAGCCCCAGCAAAGTCTGCAAGACCCTATGGAGAAAAAAAATCCTTCACATAAAAGGGCTGGGAGAGTGGCTCAAACCGTTGAGTTCAAACCCCAGTGCCACCAAAAAAAAAAAAAAAAAAAAAATCCTTTTAGGCTAGGTCTAATTCTAGCAAACATAGATTGGGAATAGGTAATGAAGGATCTTAAAATCTAGGTTAAAGCTGACAGCAGGAGTGAAATTAAAAAATAAAAAAAGTCAGTGGGCTTTTCCTTCAATTGGGCTGGGGGCAAGTTTGCTCCCAAGGGGATAAAGCCTTGGCAGTTGTCCAATTGGAGAGGAACTTGTAAATATACCACAATTCACAGGACAGCCTCCTCTCTTACAGAAGAGTGTAAATAGTGTAAAGATGGAAAAAACCCTGCAGCAATTTGAGAGCAATTTATTTGGGGCTGGAGATTCTGTAAGAGAATTTGTATTTTTAAAAAAATACTTATTTTCTATTTAGTGGTTGTGAACTCAGTGCTTCACACTTGCAAAGCAGGAGCTCTACCACTTGGACCACACCTTCAGTCCATTTTGCTGTGGTTATTTTGGGGATGGATTTGCTCTCTCAAATCATTTGCCTGGGTTGTCCTGGAAACTCGATCCTTCAGATCTCAGCCTCCCCAGTAGCTAGGATAACAGGTGTGAGTGAGCCACTGGCATGGGCTTTTTGCTCTTTTTTCTTGAGTAAGAAGGTGCTCATTGAGGGGTGGCAGTCGCTGCTCTTGATGTTGAAAACAATGCCCCACACACTCACGCCACGGGAGGGGTCAGTGGGATAACTAAAAAGGACTCTGTTTTCTTTAAAGTTCTTTTGTTGCCATTACTGAGAAAGAGGCAAATCAACCCTGGAATAACTCAGCAGACATGTTTTCACAGCGCCGAAGTGCACGTTTGGAGTGAGTTTAACTCCCCATCTGAGATACCTCGCTCTAAACAAACATGCATCCATTCAGGGCCTCTGTTTACCAAAAGTGGCACACTCTACGATGCCATCCTTTCCAACTTTTACAATCGCTGACTTGGGCTTCGCTGGCGTTTTATCTTTATCCAGGGCCTTTTACTCCAATTCACATGCCCTTTCTGGTCCTTCTTTCAGAGACCTCTCCGGGTCAAGTCCTCCGTTGACACTCCTTCAGTAGCCAAGGAGGCTCTGATGCGCTTACAACTGCACTCCTCAAACCCTTTTCTACATCATCACTCACTGGAAACTGCTGTAAATTAGAAAAGGCTGTCCTTTTCCTCCCCGGTGCCAGCCCTGCCACCACCCTCTTACCTCCACCCCAAACCCTTCTCAATCCTAGGCTAGGAAGACCTCCGATGCCTCGCCCCAAATAACTTAGGATGGATTAAATGCACCCACCTCGACATTAAATATAACTTATAACTTTGGGTTACGACGCAGCTGACGTCTTACATTTTTGTAGATTCATTAACTTCGATTTACAATTGTTTTCGCCGGGGGGGGGAGGGTTCAAAGCACTGTTTCAGGATTCAAAAAGGCTCGTGGGGAGCAGCAGTCTCCAAGCGCCGAGGAGCGACAGGCCTGCATCAGACTCCCCCACTCCAGGCGGCTCTCACCGCGCCCCCGCGTCGCGCGGTCCCTCATGGCCCTCCCGTCTCGCTCGCTCCCTTCCCACCAGCATCCCTCCATTCGCCTTGAACGCAAGGCATCCACCTCACCCGGCGCGGGCCCACCCAGCCCCGCCGACCCGCTAGCCTGGGCCTCAGCGCAGCTCCGGGCGCACCGACCGTCGGTTCGGGAATTTCCCCCCACCCCTGCGCCCCGCCCCACGCGTTCGGCCCCGCCCCCTCACCCGGCCCCCGCGGAGTTTCCGGGCGTGCGCACAGCGCTTCTCCCGGCTCTCCGCCCCGCCTCGCCCGCTCCCCTTCAACTCCGCGGGCCCAGCTGCGCAGCCCCGCCCGCCCGCCTTTCCTCAGACCTACCCTCCCCCAGCTCCGAGTAGTCCCCGGGGGCCTGCAGAACCCTCTCGCGGGCACGCACGCGCAGTGCCCAGCCCAGCCGGCTCCCGCCGAGTTCCCTTAGGTTAGTAGCCCCACCTCCAGGCCCGGTCCGGCCCCGCCTCCAGGCTAGCCACGCCCCTCATGCCGGCCCCGCGCACGCGCGCCTCCCTGGTCTAGCCCTCCCCCCCCGCCCCGTCGGTCCCGCGGTCCCACGGCGCCAGGTCGCCCCCAGCCCCTCCCTCCTGCCACCCTCTCTGTGTCCCACCCTCGCTAGCTTTGTGTCCCGGGTGCCCAATCGTTTCCCCGCAGCCGCACCGCAGGAGGAAGAAGCCGCCACCGAGGTGCTGCCGCTCGCTGCCCCAGGCTGGGGCACAGGTAGGTGGCGGCCGCGGGCAGAGCCACTCACTCTCAGCCCCGGGCTGCGTGTGGGGGCGGGGCGGGGTGTGAGGGAGGGGCGGGTGGGGGATGGGAAGGCCCGAAGGGACAGGTTAAGGGGGTCGTGGGAGAGGTAAGAGGATGAGGATGTAGGGGTGTGGGCGATGGGTGTAAGGGTGGGTTTGGTGTGCCGGCGTGTGAGAATTGGGGCTCGGGGCGGGAGAGGGCGCAGGATTAGCTTTGATGGGGTTGGGGAGAGGCTTGCTTGGGAATTGAGAGAGGGACGAAAGATTGCTGTATTGGGGAAAGGAGAGAGTAATGGGATTTGAGGAGACTAGAATTGGAATAGGGGAAGGGGTTGGGTCTTGGGGGCAGGGGAGAAACAAGTTGGGGCTGTGGGTTGTGAAGTTAATGATAGTGAAGCACGAAAGAAGGGGATTCTGAATGTTGAGAACGCAAGACGAGGAGAGGGATGGAGAGATCCGGGACCTAGGAGGGGAAGCCCCTGGGGTAGGAGGAAGGGAAGAATGGATGGCGAAGGAGAGAAGAGTAGGGACTGGAGTGTCCAGGAGGGGAAGCGGGTGGGTCTGGGGGACGGGAAGGGTGGGAAAGGGTCTGAAGTCTGAGAGGAGGGGCAGAGGAGATGGGAGTGGAGGAGGAGGGGATTGGGATTTTTGGCGTGGATTCCATGTGAGAAGGGGTAGAGTTGGTTAGAGTATCAAGATGTGGTAGAGATTAGTGTGCTCTTGGGGGAAAGTAGCTTCTGCTGCTTGGGGGAGGAAAGGGTTCGCGTGAGAAGGCAGGTAGGGAAGTGCAATTTACAGGAAAAGAAGTGGTTGGGAGAATTGAAATTGAAGTGATGGCCTTGACATAGAACAATGAAGGTGGATTGTTGGTTGGTTTTAGGTAGTTTAGAGCCAGTTTCTGTTCAGGTTTTTATGTTTGAAATTTTCCCCAAAGGACTACATTTTCAAATAAACCGAAGATCTGCAGTCCTGGGATGAAGGTCATGGGTTGACCGATGTTTTCCTAGTGTATGGATGTGGCTGATTTCTACCGTGATAGAGAGAAAGGAGGCCTCATTGTAACTGCTCTGGCTCTGTTCCACCAAATCTTTTCTCAGATGGCCACTGTTTTTTATCTCCTCTTTGTCTCCCCCAGTCCTAGCTTGAGCCAGAAAGTGCCAGAGGGATCAAACAGGTGGGTGAGATTAATTTTTAACATTTAGTTAATTCTTAAGGCTGATGTCATATTTTTATTCTTGAGAAACAGCACCATGCCGTGGAATAATACAGCCCTGAGACTGAATTGTGGCTCTGCCACTTACTAGCTCTAGCTCTGTTCCTAAAGTAAGTTACTTCATTTCTCTGAGCCTGTTCATCTATTAGCAAAGTGTCAATATTCACCTCATAAGATTGGTGATTACGTGAGATCATTTTGTATAGCACCTAGCACAGCACTTGGCAGTGATAGGTACTTACTAAATGCTAGCCATCACATCCAGTGTCACTAGCATTAGTCATTACTCTAACCTTTTACACTTAGAGGATTGTTAGCTTATTTTAGCTACTGAAGTTAGGCATTTTCCTCTTTTTCTTTTCAAATTGGATAGTTGTAGGCTCATCTCATAATTTTAGCACTATTATCCTGTTGCCTCCTCCCTTCTGCAGTTCACTTGACTAGGATAATTATGCTTTTTGCTTAATAAACTGGTTTTCAAACCTGAAAAACTCATGTTTAGTTATCAATTACTTTCTCTTACCTCTTACTCAAAAAATCTGTAGAGAACCAAATTTTTAATGTACTAAGTTATATTTCATTTATTTGAAGAAATGATCATGCTTTGTGGTAACTTTAGTTTATTTGTGAACGGACACTAGAACGTGCACTATTGTAATGCATTTGTATGGAGGTGTTTGAGTTACAAAGCTGCCTCTGAAGTGTGTCAGGAGACCCATCAGAATGCCTGTCACTCTTTTAATCTAATTTGTAATATAACTACTACAAATCTACACTGGTCCTTGTTATTCTTGCTGTTTTGCCTAGTATTTTAATTTTCCATATCACATGAAGTTTTTGCCATGGTATTGAACAGGGGTCCTGTGTCTTCAGGGGTCAATTTATAATAGGCCACTATGAATAATAGCCAGGGGGCAAGCAAGTACAGAAGCTTTATGTAGAAGTCTCTTGCCTTTTTAGTGCTTAACCTTAAAAGGTTCAAACATCCATTTAATCCTTAGTTTATTTTATAGTACCTCACAAACTCCCAGGAAGTGCTTTATTGGGAAAATACAGGATATACAAATTTAGTTGTACAAATCACAAGTCACCAAGATTCCTTGAACCAAGGTCAGTTCTTTAAACACCATAGTTGAAGAAAGAGAGGCCTTGGACTACTGTCTGGACAAATGATGTGGGTTTACTCTTCAGGAATTTTTTTTTCATCATTTAGAAAGAGAATAGTATTTTATGAGTAGTCTAAAGATAAAATATGGTCATAACTGTGCCCTTTTTGATTCTTGGGAACTAAAGCTGCCAGGATTTGGGGCAGGGGTTAGCATCCTGTGGTCCCTAGCTGCTTGTGCCCTCTGCTGGATGGAGTCACACATTTCTCATTTCCATCAAAAGTGGTCATCCATCACCCACTTTTCTATTTTGTTTCTAAAGTTGGTAGAAAGTTAGTGTTGTGGGCGACAGTTAGAAACAATGCAGATAGGTGGACCTTATTTCTTGCCTATATAGCTCCATTATAATATATTCTATAGAACTTGCCTTTCTGTTGTTAAAATCAAATCATTTCTTTTTAGGGCCATATTTGGTGTCCACTTTCTGATCTTCAGTTAGTGCAGGGCTCTCATAGAAATAAAGACTGAAGGAGAGTTTTTTTTTTTTTTTGGCCGGGTGCCAGTATAATCCTAGCTACTCAGGAGGTAGAGATCAGGAGGATTGTGGTTCAAGGCTAGCCCTGGCAAATAGTCTGTGAAACCCTATCTCAAAAATACCCAACTCAACAAAGGGCTGGTGGAGTGGTTCAAGTGGTAGAGTATCTGCCTAGCAAGCGTGAGGACCTGAGTTCAAACCTCAGTATTGCTTAAAAAAAAAGAAAGAAAAGATTGAAGGAGAGCTGCTTTTTCTCCTCATCAGGATTAAGGTCTTTGAGGATGCAGGCGCCAGATTCTTATCCCTATTAGAAGAAGAACTTAGAATAAGTGGGGTTTCTCCTTGGCAGCAGGCACTGAATGCTGGCAAGAAAAGAGCATGGGTTTTAAGACCTGGCACTGGGACAGGATTTTTTTTTCCTGGGTTTTAGTTTAGTTGCTTTGTTTTTTTCCCCTGGTTGTACCAGTAGCAATATACTTCCAATCCATCCCTGCAACTGTTTCCTACCACGCTCAGAAGGGTCTAGCAAGGGGGAGAGGAAGCCTGGCAAGCTTTGTTTTTCCCTGGAAAGAGGAGCTGGCTCCTTATGCAAACAGTCATCAGCAGGTTCCTGTCAAATAAGAAGCCACTAAATCTGGTGCCTTTTGGAGGTCTCACCCCTTCCTCTTTCATTCAGTTTCAGCAAAATATACTGAAGCACTTACTCAGTATAAGGCACTGTGTTAGGCCTGAGAGAGTTAAGTAGGAGCCTTGTTTTCAAAGAGCTCACAACTGTGGGCCAGAAACAAGTGAACAGACATAGTATGTGGTGCTAAGTGCAGTATAGAAGGAGACAATGGGTGTTCTGGGAAAACCAAACAGGCATGCAGGGGTTAGGGAAGGTTTCCCAGGAGAGGGATGATGATTGAGTTCAGTGTTAATGAGTAGGAATTAGCTAGGTCAGGGAGACACAGAAGGATGTTCCAGCCAAAAGAAATAGAACAGGCCAAGTCCAGTGGTACAGGAGAGTATGGCCAATTTCTTAAGTGGTATGGCTGGCTGCAGAGTAGGGTATAAAGACATTGAACCCAGGGCCTCATGCCTGACAAGTACCACTTTATTTATTTTTATTTGTTTTGTTTGAGACAGGGTCTTGCTATGTATCCCAGGCTAGCAGTGAACTCATTATGTAGCCCAGGGTGACCTGGAACTCAGGATTCTCTTTTCTCAGCCTCCAGAGTGATAGGATTATAGTTGTGTATCACCACACACCTATAATCTTTCCCCTTAAATTGTTGTAGAAATGGTAATCAAATACCTTTGTTTTATTTAACATAGCATTTTCTTGTGTGTTTTGAAATCTCACAATTACTCAGGAAAATGTACTTATACTAATTAGTCCTTGGGCCCACACGATTGCAGAAATACCTGTTTATGATTTTTTTTTTTTTT